TACTCAGTCGACCTTTTAATGACATTTTGGAAAAGCACAGATGTTACAATTAACATTGATATTGCTTCTCTGTTTCAGTTGTTGACAGTGAGCAAACAACCAGACTCTGAAATTAGCCTACAAGTGGAAATGTTTTGAAGTCTTATGCTAGCCTCTCTTCTTCCTTTAGAAGAAAAGAAAGTAGACATTTTACTTTTATTTTTTATTTATTTGCCATGGCCTTTACTTAATTGTGACGGTGGTGGTGCAGGAAATACAGGAGCATACATGGTAAACGTCTAAACCACTAAACCAGTTAAAACTTATTTTTGTCCCTACAAACACATCCAGAAATTGGAATTCAATGTCTGTCTCTGTTTATAGTTGGAGCTAAAGAATTATAATAATCTGGTGGTGGAAACCCCAGAGCTGCAAACATTTAGGAGTACAAACTTCCTTTGCAGGCACTATCAAAATAAGAGAATTCCAAAATTGAAAATGTGCAGCCCCATGTGTGATGTAGTGAGTGTGTGTTTCTGTCTGCAGGCCTGGCCTGGTTGGTGATTCCAAGAACCTGGGCACGTTTTTCTCTAGGATCCCTGAACTTTCAGAGCTGGAGACTGTTTGTGGTGCTCTGCTCCGTTCCCAGCCTCACCTCGGCCCTCCTCTTCAGACTGCTCATGCCTGAAAGCCCCAGGTTCCTCATGGAGGTACTTGAAGGCCGGACCACTCCTCGTGTTTTGCAATCTGCTTTTTTCTTCTGAGCTGCCTTTGAGATTTTTGCTCTGTCCTTTGCCAGGCTGCCCGGGAGAAAGAGGCGATCCATGTCTTCCGGCTCATGTTTGAGCTCAACATGTGGGGAAAAGGAAAAGAGTTTCCGGTATGAATTAAATAATGTCCCCGTTTGCCTCTATAATTCATTGTCATAGTTTGGTCTACAAATGTGTTTAGCTTAATAAGAGTGGTGAAAATGGTGAAAATGGTCAAATACAACAAATAAAAAAAAAAACAAATAGCGGATCCAAGAAACACAAGACAACCAACAAATTATATGAACTGCAAATACACAAATGAGATCCTGAAAGACACGAAAGACGCAGCCAAAAGGGAAGTGATATTTCTAATGAATGTGTAATTTATTTTTATGTGGTTTGTTCAAGTTCTCTAAACACTTCCTTCCTTTAGTCTACAGTGTAATAATCTACTTCAAGTGTAACGACTCTCATCTTGAACTCTTTTTAAGGAATTTGGTTTGTGTACGAGCTCCAAGCAAAGCGAGGAACCGAAGGAGACCAGAGCTCGGGGGTCACGCAGAGAGACACTCGCCTGTATTTTGAAAAAGGTAAATGTTACAAACAAAAGAGGTGTTACCAATGATACCAATTAAGGTTACCATCTGTCTTTACCCTACTATTTCATGTCAAAATGGCTGCTGTGAGAAAGCTCTATATGTGACCTTGTGGTACCTGAAGTAGCCACAGGGCAAAACTTTGCTGCCACCCTGCTCCGCCCCCTCCCTATTTAGTGTGTACAGTTTCTCAGTGTTGTAACACTACCTGGAGCCTGGTTTAGGGCTTCAGCAAACTATTATTTACAGTTATTAAGTACGGTTTTCTGTATCTCATTAAATAGTAAAATATCACCATCATAAATTCAAATTCAAGTCAAGTCAAGATGCTTATTTTCTGTTGATTGACTAATACATTAATCGTCTACTTATTTCAGCTTTTATCCAAGTTTGCTGTGTGTTTATTTGATTTAACATGATAGTATTAAAACTGCACTTTGGCATGGGGACCCTCTTTAAGAGGAGCTCTAAGATTAAGTAAAACCATTGGCATAAAGCACCGTATGGCCTTTATAGTGTCAGTTATTGTGCTTTAGTTATATTCCCAAACATATTTTCAATACAATTGGCACAAACCAGTTTACAGACAGTAAGACTGGACTCTCAGGGCCCCTGTGGCAGCTGCCCCTGTTTGGTAATTCAGCCTTGTGAAGTAGTCCTTAATATATTAACTATTAATGATTCCTTTTTAATGACAGTGTTCTCTTGCTTGTTGCTGATACATAATTTCTCTTTTATAGGTCATTCTTGTTCTAAATCATTTCTTTGGTTTGGTTTGCAGGGCTTACTTCCTATTAAACTGATGTTTAAAGGTTCACTCAAATCCAGGAGCATCGTTCTGCTCATCATCTTCTACTGCATCTCCTTCGGGTGAGAAGTCCCATCTTTCCGTTTATATACAGACTTTATTCCTCTGTTGTCGACTTCGTTGTATTTATCATGTGTATTTCAACACTGCTGATGCAATAAGACTACAGCAGGCAGTGAGATAACCGTTCCAAATATTTTATCTTCAACAACCAGAAATCATGTTACTTAACCGAAAGAACTGCTAAGAAAGATGGTAATCGTTACCAACTCGTCTGTGGTGCTTTCACTGCCGACGTAAAGATATACAGCTGTTAGCTGGTTCTGCCACATCTAACACAAGTGTCAATCTGGACGCTGCTTAGGAGCCTCGGCCATGGTCCAGTGAAGGTACTCGAGTTACTCAGAGTTACACGCTACCTCCTGCCCACCAGCTAGGTTAATTAAAATATATTTGAATTATATTCAAATATATTATATTTTATTTCATGTCAATGGGTGTGGTTCAAGCTTCTGTCTCGCTCTTTCTATAAAGATCTCTGGATGAGAGTGTTCCTATAGCTTATATATAAAAAGTTTGAGCTTGTAAATATTAAGTGTGTGTATTAAGTGTGTGTGTACATTTCAGAAACAGGTTTGCATTTGTGCTGCAGTTTGCAGTGATACATTTATTNNNNATAAACAAGAAACAGTAACTCAACTAATGACTGAAAGAATAATGGAAACTGATTGTGGCCAATTGTGGTTTTTTATTCAGACATTTATTTATATTTTATTGTAATCCAGATACTTTGTGTGTGTGTGTGTGTAGTTACTATGGGCTCTGGATGTGGTTTCCAGAGCTGTTTGAGAGAATTGAGGACGGCGGCTCGCCCTGTGCCAACGTGTCGCTCCCGTCTCCACTCCACAACAAAAGCTGCTACCCAGTCAAAACAGCAGGTGTGTTTCTGGGATGACTAAGAATTTATATTGGATTTTACTGCCATCAGCTCTCTTCTCCGTCCAGTCAGCAAACACAGCCTCATTCATAGCTCATCCACAGAAAGAAAACAGAACATGGGAATGAGGTTAAAATCAAGAACCATTACCCGAGTACAGATATATTCTCTCAGCATCTTATGAAATTAGACTTAATAATTTATGTTAAATTGGTATTAATAACATGTGGAGGTTTGGTTTTTAAATAACAAAGGTTACACAAGGTAGGATAAAAATGAACCAGGACAAAATAAAAGACGCTGTGCTCAGGGAATTTTTGGATCATAGGAGGTCACTTTGTTTGTTGTCTCAGTAAATGTAGTTCTTTTAAAAACTGCTGTGGTACGTTGAATTTGAAATTCAGGCATCTCACGGAAGTGCTCCTTTAACATTTTTGTTTCTCCCTGTGAACATGACAATGTTATTTTTCAGTCCAGAGACATGCTGCTCGGGTGAATTGGGTAAATTCTCCCTAGGTTTGTTTTATTTAAAAGGGACCATGCACAGTTTAAAACATAAATGTGACCATTTGATGTACCGTACAAAATTCTAGCTTTAAGCTAATTTGCATCTGTAGTCCCTTGACGGGTCAGAACAAGGAAACCGCACAATAAAATAATACAGAGTTATACAATAAGGAACACACTTACAAGACTTGTCAAACAAAAGCAAGTCATGAAGACCATAAGAAAGACTCACACAGCCTATATGCAGTTCACAATATATGAATGGATGTTATTGTTACTGTCCTCAGTTCACCTTCCTGTGTCTATTCCTCTCCTGACAGTGTATATGGAAGGCTTCTTCATCGCTGCATCCAACTTACCGGGAAACATCTTCACCATCCTTATGATGGACAGCACAGGAGGAAAAACTCTACTCTGTGAGTCTGATGCCTATAAAATGGTATTGCACTTTCATTTAGGAGATTCACTCTCCTCAAGCTCAATAGAAGAATGGGATTTTTTTCAACTTTATCTAAATCTGTTTTGGAGGCTTTAGTTTTATAAGATACAGGTAGATACAAGATACATCCAATCCCCAGCATCTCTAAAACCACTATCTAACTTTACCATTAACCATATGCAGCTCATAAACTGACACTGACACTGTGGCACCAACAGTCTTAGAGGAGAGAGTGAGGGAGATATCACGAGGTCCCGCTGTCAAGAAGTGTCTGTGCATATAACACGCCAGTTTTCTCGCCTTGGATCCTTGAACGATATCTCACCTCTTTGTTGTGTCTCCAGCCTGCAGCCTGCTGGTATCCAGTCTGAGCGTCTTCCTCATCTATATGGTCCAGACCAAAGGCCAGAGTCTGATCCTGTCGTGTGTCTTCAGCGGCGTGTCTGTGATCGCCTGGAACGCCCTGGACGTGGTGGGAACAGAGCTCTACCCGACCCAGCTACGGTACCTTTTCTTAAAACTCAGCTGAAGTTCAGCAAAGTCCATAAAAGTTAACAATGCTTTCTCCGTGTAATATAGTGGATGCTTTTACCTCCTCAGACATCCAAGACCCTTCAAATGGGTGAACGTAGGACAGCAGGATGTAACCTGTGATGAGGGGTCACAAGCCAAAACACTTTGATTCCACTGTTGAGAAAAAATGTCCTTGTTTTTGGTACTTCCAGTTCTTCTATTGAACTCTATTAAATTATATCATATATCATATATCATATATCATATAATTTGGTTGAATTTTGAGCAGATTTCCTGTAAATACAATTGTCTGTATTGTTTGTTTTTCTTTCAACAATCATAAATACTTAATAGGCTTAGATCTTAAATAATACCTTAAACTTAAAAAAAAAAATCTTTTAGTTTTCTTCACAGAAATAAATGAAATGCTGTGATTATGTTATGGCCCTTAAAATCAAGAAGTATTGGGGAGAGTGTGAGGTTATCCACTTATTAAATGAGCTCTGTTTTTAGTAAATACGCCCACAGCTGCTCACATGTTCCGGTGTTTTTTTTTTCTCTCATTCAGGTCCTCTGCTCTCGGGTTCTTCACAGGAGTGGGCCGAGTGGCAGCGATCATGGGTAACGTAGTCTTTGGAAAGTTGGTGGACACAAACTGTGCCGTACCGATCCTGCTGGTGTCGGCTCTGCTGCTGACGGGAGGACTGGTGGCTCTTCTGCTTCCACAAACCAAACAGACTGAGCTCACCTGATCGCTCAGACTCTACCTCACACTATTTTAAATTAATAAATTATTAGCAAACATCCCCTTAATGTGGAAGCATACTGGAGGGTTGTCGCCTTTATATCTCCTGTTTCTGCTCCCGGAGGATGTTTGAATCCCGTGCCTTCTGTCATCTCTCTGTGCCTTTTTATCGTGCTTCATTTAAAATGCCAACAATGAGAATCATTTTCAGAAGACAGTGGGCTCTCTCCAGCTTCTAAGAATTACTATTCAGGAAAGTGAGTAAGAAGAAAAAGAAATGTACTACAGTGTCTGTTGTGAGCTCGTGAGGATTAAAATGCTTCCCAGACGTCAGAGTATGAACTTTCAAGGACACCTGTAAACATTTTGTCTATCTCTAAACTCTAGAAAAATCTAAAAAGGGTATAAGAGTACAGTATAATCAGTAATTCGATTAGTGGCCTATATGGGCCTCATATATAAATGTCTCTTTGTTTCTGTCACCTTTGACTCAAAGAGTTCTCCAAAGATGTTTCAGGTTTTTTCCAGCTGATTATTCAGTTTAGAGTTTTGGATGCTATTAGTTAGGATTAGTTCAGGAAGAAAATGTTGCACATTCCACATTTTTCCTTCACAATTTGTTTTAGTTTATAATTTATTCTGTAAAGGGCCTTTGTATTTGTTTTCAGGCCATTGCACAGCCATTGTACGATACTTGCCTGAACAATCATCAGTGTCTTTTTTTTAAAAAAAAAACTCCAAATAATAATTGTAAAATCTATGCAACTCCTTTTCCCTGTGAAAGTGTTTCTTTCTGTACCCTTTCTGTCATTTTCCTGCGCTAACTGGACCAACCAGTTCAGCATTCCTGTGGAAAAACCAAAGATTTCACATCACAGTCATTGTAAAAGGACCAAAATGGCTACAGATGAACAAACCTTTATTTCAACCACGCTGATGCTAGCTCATATTCTCATCAGTGTTTCTGTAGAGCTGCTTGTTTTCAGACAGGTGTCAAAATACTGTGACTATTGTCTTAATCAATAAACACTACTTTTGTTCATCCCAGCTGTCTTTGGTGTCATTTCTCCTACAACTCAGGTTTCACTGAACACCAGCGGTGGAACAATACTTAACTGCAAGTAAAAGTCCTGCATTCAAAGAAGTAAAAGTATGTATTATTATTATTGTTATCAGCAAATTGTACTAAAAGATTAAAAGTAGAAGTCCTTGATCTGCAGTAAAATGTCCCCTAACTGATTTATTATACATTATTAGACTGAATGTGTAAACATTTTACTGTTACAGCTGGTTGAGGTGAAACCACTGGTTTAATCTTAGGCAAACTATTATATTTAATACACTTATATGTTTTGTTCATGTAAAATATCAATCTATAGAGCTGCCAAATGTAGTGAAAAGTACAATATTTCCCTCTGAGATGTCATTAAGTATTAGAATAAAAATAATGAACTTAGTTACTTTCCAATGTCCTAAAAATGTTTTAGAGTTTGAGGTATCACGATACTGCAGTCCAGTGGTTTTTCATTAATTGTCAGACCATATGACAGAAGACACGTGACAATGTATCTGTCATTTTTATTTGTATAATAAATAAACTTGTAATACTTCAGGATCACATTTCACAACCACACACACAGAGTATGATAAATCATACTTTGAATATTTGAAAGCTGATGCAGATTAAAAACAAATTGCCAGACATGAATTATGATTTGGAGAATAGGTTTATCCAGCGGTCTCTTTTTCAGTAGATTTTTACATTAAAATGTCTTATTCTTTACATTCTTTATCATGACTGTGTTTGCAGTGACTGGAAATTTCAGGTGTGAGTGGTTCAATGGTAAACAACGCAACAGATACAAAAAAAGGCCAAAATAAAACCGTCCACTGCTGCTGCTCAGTTTTCCACGACGAGTGCTGGCGTCTGACTGTAATGTACTCCTTTGGTTGTTACATTTTCCAACAGTAAAGAAACAATAAATAAATAAATACACAGACAATGTGTGAAAGATAAGAAATGTGCTGCCACTGGACACATGAGGGTCCGTAACAAAAGAGAAGCCACATGACTTCTGACCTGAAATCAATAAATAATAAAAGGCATGAAAACAGCGTTCCCTGACAAATGAGATCGAGCTAACACTCAACTTGAAAGTGTTTGACATTATCATGAGCACTGTTTTAATCTAATAATCATTCATTCTCTAATGGAAATCACATTCTGGATTTTAAAATGGAAATATAGTTTTCTTAATTTTCTATGTTATTAAGTGGAACTCTGGGTTTTGGAGAGGATGATGTTCTCTGAGGATGAATTGTTAAAGAATTAGCTGATTACTTAATATTGTAAGATCATGTTTCAGTCTTCGTATGAGTCGTCACTTACTGTCCTGTGGACTGATCATTATAATGTGCTTCATGATGATCTCAAGTCAAGTGTCATTTTGAATCAGTTTGAAAACAGCTAGTTAATGTTTGCCAGGTCAATATTCAGTGTCGTCACACACACACACACACACACACACACACACACTCAGACACACCACACCTTACTTATTGTATTACATGTTGCAATACATATAATAACATTTATACATCTTCAGTTTTTAGAAATGCCCCACTTATTGTAATGAACATGTGCACTATGACAGTTAGGCAAACGCTAACATCGCAGAATCTGAGATGAAAATCCTTCGTTATTCCCGGGAGAGTTATTGATTAACAATGTTTATTGTCCAAAAATGGAATGATTCAGTTATAGGTAGTTGTTGTCTCAGTCGAGCCTTCATGCTACATTCAAGTAATGACCAATAACTGAATGAGTATTTGATTTTTACTGATTTCACTTATTGTATGTACATGTTTTTGGGGGATATATACCTACAGTATATAATCTATTACTTATGTTATCTACATCCTAAAATAGTCTCAGAGCTAATAACTAACAAGCTAAAAATTTAAAGATTTGTGCTCCCACTTATCAGAAAGAATAAAAAATCAGAATCAGAATCAGAAATACTTTAATAATCCCAGGGGGAAATTACTTAAAGAATAACCTACAGTACTTGGGCATCTTATTTGTAAATAATTTAATCAAAACTCATGTCCAGCAGAAACTTAACTAAATGCTTTGAGTGAAGCGGGACCGTTTTTTGTATTATCTGAAAATACAGTTATTAAATGCTTCACTAACTTTGTCTTGTGGCCTTCCTCAACAGATGGAGTTTGCACAGTTGTTATCAAGGGACCTAAGTATGTACATAATGGTCACATCATGACGGCGGTCGTATTCTGGCCTCTTCCCATTTTTAAGTGTAGTGTACCAAAGGCAGCTGATGTTCTCTGTTTCCAGGGTGCGTCTCTGATCGACTGCTACATAATGAGCCGACCAGACTTTTAACTAAACAACATTCGGTTTTTACACATTATCTGGAACAAACTGCCAGAAAACTTAAGGTCTGTTTTAACTCTCCATTTTTTTTAACTTTAAGCCTTGAAACGTTTTGTTTGCCACTGTCATTTATTAATTTAATACATTTCATTCATAGCTTGCACTGCACTGTAGCTGCACTGTGACTTTATTAATTTTATCTTTTTTGGTTTTTTTCTATCTTCGTTTTGTCTTCTTATATTCCTATATTGTTGTATGTTTCTTTCGTATCTTGTCTTAATGCCTTTTTATGTCTTATGTTAAACACTTTGAATTGCATTGTCGTTGAAAGGTGCTATACAAATAAACCACGAGATGTAGTCAAAAGCGTTGATAACATTAAGTGGAAGAAAATTTAAGGTTTTGAACACTTAAAAGATGCACAAATCTATTTTGTGTTGACTCAGAAAGTGGAGTCCAATAAATCCAATTGGCTCTTTAAGGAAGGAAAATATGTTTCAAGATAAATATTTAAATTAACTTTAAAAGGGGGGAGATGGATTTCATATCAGGTTCAACATCAGTCATGTCTGATTGTCAACAACTGTCACATTTCTTAAAGTAGAGGGTTCTTGAACCAAACAACAAACTGGGATTAAACATTCTGGAAACTTCCTCACTGCTTACAGGAGAACGGAGGAGATGCTACAAGTGTGATGAGTCTCGGACGATATGTGAGAGGGGGCAGAGGGCAAAAATGTCGCGGCACACGTCACTGCGTCAAAGCCAGGAGGATGTCCTTCACCAGCATGGTGCCGATCAACATTTTCTCACAGTTGACCGTCAGCTGGGCGGCTCCTTCCTCTTTGGTCGCCACGGTGACCAACACCAAGCTGCTGCTGGTCACCGTCCTGCCTGCGAACCTGTGGACAGGATGATCAGGAGGAGGAACAGGAGGACTGAGGTCAAAGCAGCAAAAGATTGGAAGTAAAGACGAAGCCACAGAAATAAAGGAGGGATACAAATCAATCAATCAATCAGCCAATCAGCAGCTTCTGACAAGTTTATGAACGAGTATCTCTGCTCTCTATCTACCTATCTGTGGTCCTGGCTGTTGAAATGCTCTCTGATTTAGCCAAATACTAGCACTAAAAATGAAGTGAAAAGGCTAAATGACCATAATATATTCACACTGTGTTAAAATCAACACAC